CACAAGCATGCTAATCAAGAATAAATAGGTCATGCCTGTTTAGTGCACAAATAATAAATCCTGAATTAAACTAACCTAGAATTTTAAATCTCGCGAATTCTTTCTTCCAGAATTTTTTCCTCATCATATCATTATTTAGATCAAACATTAATCTGTCATGGTATTTGAAATTATTTTCATAGTTTGCTCTCTAATATCAAGGTCTCAATCTCCTTTTGAAACTGACTTGGATGTACTATTCATTATTCTCATACTCTTCGTATTCAGAAATTTGATTGTGCACCATTTGCTCAAGAGTGAATTACAGACTCTTATCACTCTTGAATATTTGGAATTATTCATTGAAGTATTGATCAAGGTCTATCATTGAGAGTGAAGACAGATTGCAGTTTAAATAATTATTATCTGGGTAAAAAGTTGCTGTCGTAGATTGCTCTGAAAAGCATGATTGCATTTCACTCATATCTTAATCATCATATTCTAAAGAATCTCCATCTGATATTTCTTAAGATTATTTCTCCTACTTTAACATATTTAAATCACATACTTTAAGTCTCTTAATGTCCTGCTATGATCCCGATATCTCCTCTATATCACTACAATCAATCTCGACATTCTAGTATATTTTAGACAATTATTGCTGCTCTTCATCATCTGATACTGCTGGAGAATTTGAGATTACATATACATTAACCAATCGCTTCAGAGGGTATTTGCGATACTTAAGCTTCTTCAATTTCTTTTTTAGTACAGATTTGCTAACCTTGATGATTTATTATTTTGGATAGTGTAAACTTTAATCTTCATACTATTCATATTGATTCTCAGAATTCAATAACTCATTATTATTGAAATATTGATTCAACTATTGACTTTCCTCTTGAGACTAAAATTTTTATTCTTCTTGGTCAAATCCTGGAATTTCTTATATGTCTTACTACTCTATTACTTCTAGATCTAATTCTTACTGCTATCATTTCAAGATTTATTCTTCAGTGTAAAGAGGACAAATTTTATTGAACCTCTACAAAAACAATGATCTAATCTTCTCATATACTACTTTTTCAATCTCTGGCTTAAAAAAGAATTTTCTAATATCAGCTTGCAACTTTAAATCATAACTTTGATGAGACATTTCAATATTCATGAGCACAAACGGTATGGTTTTGTCGGCAATCATAAAATCTCGATATAATTGCTAAAAAATAGCTTTCATTCTTTTTGTAGACTCAACTGGTTTGTTATTAATGTATATATGAAGACACTAAAATATTAACTTGTTAATTTACTTTATTGATCAAGATTTTTTGAGTTCCTCTTTAAGGTCTTGTTATAAATGTTTAAATATTAATTGTACCATTGATCAAGCTATCATTGAATACAAGTAGTTCTTTATTTATATTTGGACAAGTTTTCTTGAATTACCTCTCTAAAATTCTCCTCAGGTTAACTTCCAAGGAAATCTACCTATCTGTAGCAAATATAGTGCTCACTATACTAACTTTGATTAATTAAAAGAGTCTTACTTACTATGAATCTGTATATCTCTCAACAAGATTGTCAACTACATATTAGCAGCAAGAAAATCTTAACTCAATGTCATACAGTATAAGTGAGTATGCATTTAAGAGCTAAATCAGTTGGTCATATTGCTGCTTGATATGTTTTACATATTTAGCTCGATAGCATTAATTATTGTAATGTATTCTTCTGACTTAAACTATCGTACCCTCGTCACTTAGTTTTCTTATGTTCATTTTAAATTTGTTTTCAATTTTCATAGTTTAATTATATCTTACAACCGTCGATAAGTCTTCCTCTAATTACTTGCTAATTATTGTTAGCTCTGCAGCTCTACTGAGTGAATCTAGGGATTCTCCTTTGAAGCCTAAGCTTCTTGTCTTATATATTTCATTTCTCTATCTTTTAGGCATACATCTTATATATTCATTAGTAAACTCACTTTCATCTATGCCTTTTCCATCATCTATTATATCGAAGCCTTCTTTTCCTAGTTAATAGATGCATACTTCAATATAATGAGCTCCTCATTCTAATGCATTTTCCAGTAACTAGATAACCCATATTCTTAATAGTGTATCAAGATCTCGAACCTTTATATCTGACACTTGAACTAATTAATTTTTCATTGAACCATTTTTTACTCAATTCTCCACCCCATTTTTAAGCGGCATCAGCAGAGTTTGTTTCATTCCATTATCTTCATATTCATCAGCAAAACCACTTATTGGTTCCGTGCGATGGTAGTTATATTTTCTTTTTACATTGATACGCTACTATTTTCCAAGGAGAAACATAAGAATTCAAAATATTTAAAAGAGCTCTATATGAATTGAGAAAAGTCAATCAACATTCTTAAAAATCTTACAAAATTTGAGTTTAGGGGTTTTGGGGTTTTGGGG